GCAAGAAACTGGAGTGGGTACTTATAGCTTCAGGTTTACCTGGTTGTTGTAACTTAAGATTCCTAGCCCTTGACTGAAGAATTTAGGCTTTGCTTATGGCAATGGCTGATTGCTTAGAATCAATAGAAGAAACTATACCTCTTTGATCCTTTGGCAAAAGCTGATGCCACGAACAAGGTGTTATTGAAGACAACTGCAGGACCTGAGAAACCTCACCTCCTTTTCTGGTATTAAAGCCAAATATTTGTTCATTTTGAATCAAAAAATGAATCTCAGCTCTCCTGCCATCTTGTCTATCCTGCTCTCATAGCTACTTAGACCTCCATTATCTCCCCAGTTTCTCTTCCTACTAACTTTTCCAAGGACAGTCCTGGATTTACAGAAGCTGTCCTGGTTTCTGATTTGATCCTGGAAAATCTGGCTTTTCCTTAGGATGTCCCTATTTTTATCAAAGAAATGTTGGCGGGTATGTTAGGTGACCCCCGAGCCAAGGACATAAGTAATTATACAACTTTTAGAAGACATCTGAAGGCAGCCCTGTATAAGGAAGCTTTTTAATATTTAATGTTTTGTTTTTTTAAAAAAAAATAGATGATGGAAGCCACTTAGTGTGGCTTAGTGTGGCTGGGGTAACCCAGTCAGATGTGCAAGGTATAAATAATAAGATCATTGTTAATATTATTATTGACAGCCCTATTTTCATAAGAGAAATGTTGGATGGTATGGAGTTGCCTAACAACTGTTAGGCACATAGAATCTACACCACATGAATTTTTTGTGTGGTCTGGCTTTGGGAAGTACACTGATAGAATAACTTTGCACAAGCACATTCAAGGCTGGGCACCAGGAGTTAAAGAGAGCATCAAAGCCTGCTGCTACAAATACTTTTGAAAAGTGATGCACAAAGTTTAGTCCTTCTTTGGCTGGTGTCCCTCTTGCGCTTCTCGTGGCCTCTGGGATCTTATTATCCAGGTTTAGGCTATCTTGTTAGCATCAGACGTGTTTCACATCATACTCTGCAAATTGGATAGTTGCATCACTCTGCCCGATCACTCCACCTCCCCAGAGATTCAAAGTGGGTAGATTTGATATAGTCCCACATGAAGGCGAAGGAACATCTCCACGCAACCCCTCCCACCCCCCAAAAGAGGGAAGTTGAGAAACCATTATGCTTTTCCATGACTGCATATAAAAATGTAATCATAGAAGATGCTCAGTCACCCTCCCTTTGGTACAGAATAGCTGATTTATTAATTGGGAAGGAATTCAGTTTAGAAGAGTCCTCCTTTAGAACTACTCTTTTGAATGAAGAAGAGAATTCTACATTTCAGGATTATTGTTTTCTTTTGCCCATTTACCATCCAGTGCCATAAAAGTGAATGGCTCTGCATCGGGCTTCATATCCCCTAGTCTAGATGCTTTTTGCTTTCAACTCATTATGTCAAGATAGTGAGAAACTCCAAAGGCAACCTTGAAAGAACTACACACGGCTATCAACAGCTGCAAATACAAGCAAGGTATACTGTTGCAGAAGGGATGCGTTCTCTTTTTAAGCTCTCTGTATATATGTGTATGTGTATATGTATATGTGGACAAATTCCTAATCAACCCCATTGTGCTCAATGATACTTAAAAGTGCTTAACTTTGGCTGTTATTTTAAGACATTCAAAGGGAGAAAAAGGGACTCTGTGTGTGTGCACTCTTTGTTCGGTAATCTGGCTGTTCAGCCCAGATTCTCTTTCCAACATCTCTTAGATTCCCAAATGCACAACATATCAGACAGGTCTTAATAATATAAGGGAACATGCTAAAAGATTAGCTTTACAGGTCTATACAACAATAACATCAGGAGTGCAGCTATGCCTGACCTTGAGGGTGAAGTCCAAAGGGGTCCCCAAATGACCACCCAGATAGTGGCAGATGATGGCAGCAGTGGCAAATGTGCCTGGCATCAGTCCCTGCAATAGCATGCTGTGGTCCACCCATTTTTATTTTTTAAAATTACAATCAGGGTGCAAGTGGCTAGGCATGCATATTACAATTTTTTTTCCAGAATAGGGCTAATTCTCAAGTAAACTGGCTTGTCCACATCAGAGCAAATTGTGGACTTGCACTGGACTGGCTCCCCATTAATATAGGGGCCCCACATGATGTCCTCCCCATCTCAGTGGTGTCCTGGACATTTCCCTCTTTAAATGTGGGGCTTTAGAATCATTGGAAAGTATGAATCAGAAAAAGCCAGCCTTTAAAGTGGGGAAGGTCATGAAGAACTCTGGGATGGGGACCACGTTTTCTTCCAGTTTGGAGTAGTCCTATTTGTTTTGCAGCAGTAAGTAAACTTCACTTTATTCCTAATTGCACAATCTCATGATGCTGCTATGATTTAACTGAGTTTTCAAAATGTGAAATGACATGCACAGAGTCTTTTTGTTGCTGTTCTCAGATGGGCAAACATTTTATTCTCTCTCTCTCTCTCTAATATATCAGGAATGTAGAAGCAGCTGCAAAGCATGGAATAACAATAGTGGAGGTAGAGGAAAGAAAAAAATATTAATTGTGTGCTTTGAAAGTGAAGTAATAAATGTCATTAGCGAAAGGATCCCCTCCCTTCCATGAAGCCTATTAAGTTCAGTGTCTAAAATTTTCTAGCTGCACCACCGAGTTGCATAAAAGCACAGCAAAAAATCCCAGGTTAAAATCAGCACGTTCTAGGGGCTTGTTCACGCTAGAGAAAAATGTCTATTTGTCTGGTTTGTTTCCTCATTAATTTTTGTATGTGCACATGATGCCCTCTTCCTCCCATTTGTTGTCCTGGACCTCCCTACCTTTAAATGCAGAAATTTTTTAATGTGTGGAAAGCCCAAAATGACCAGGTAATGTGTGCTGACATTGGGTGGTGGATGCCTTGCTCTGGTTCTGTCCCAGTTCTCTTCTGACAACTCCTCTTTCCCCACCTCCTCCTCCTCCTCCTCCGGCTTGCCCACCCTGGAGCATAATGTGGATTTACACTTGCCTGTCTTCCCATTGTTGTCTTTGTCCATGGAGTTTTCTTGGCAGGGATACTGGAGTGGCTTGCCGGTTCCTGCTCCAGGTGGATCACGTTTGGTCAAAACTCTCCACTATGACCTGTCCATCTTGGGTGCCCTGCATGGCATAGCTCATAGCTTCTCTGAGTTATTCAAGCCCCTTCGCCACGGCAAGGCAGTGATCCATGAAGGGTCACTGCCATTAATGTAGTCTTCCCATTAATGTAGGTGCATCCACAAGACATCAATGTTGTCTCAGACCTTTCCCTCTCTAAACCAGTGCCTGATTTATGTATAAGCTAAACAAGCTATAGCTTAGGGCCCCACTCTCTTGGCCCCCCAAAAAAGTTAAAGAAAAATAACCTGGATGTACATTTCCAAAATATAAGATAAAAAACAAATAAAATAAAACCTACAGATAGCAAATGGCTTTAGATACCTATTAGAGCCATAAATTACCATGTAGCATATATTCAACACAAAAACAGCGACAATATGTTGTTGACATATAAAGGGCCCCATTACCTTCAGTAGCTTAGGGCCTCATCAAACCTAAATCTGGCCCTGCTCTAAACGCAGTGTCTTTCTATTCTTGGAAAGTCCAAAACATCTAAGACTGCTCCCCCCCCATTTAAAGGGTTGGGGAAAAGTTCCAGGACACCACTGGGATGGGCATGTGGGCACTCCTGTATTAATGGTAAGACAAGCAGGTGCAAATCCACATTTTGCTACAGTGTGAACAAGTCCTTTATTTCTTTCCCATTGCCTCTTTATTTCACTTTAGTAAATAATACTGTAAACTTAAGGCACCAGGTGCATTTGAAGATTTCTGCTCTAACCAGGGCCATCTTACCCATATGCGCCAGGGGTGCGGGGCACCCGGGCACCGGGCTCTCAGGGATGCCAGGCCGAGAGTCCGGGGCCTGAGAGTTAAGTCTGGGGAAGAGCCCACCCGTCGGTTGGAACGCCACAGCAGGCTTTTCTGCGAATTCGGGGGCGACCAAGCCAGCAAGACGCTGAGGCGGCCGGCCGGCTCTGCCCTCCTGCACGCCTGGGACTGGGCAACCTGGAGGGGGGGGGGCGCCAGGCGGATCTTTGCACCCCGGTACCACATATGCTTAAGACAGCCCTGGCTCTAACTGTATGATTTGCAAATAAACGAAGAGCAGAATTGACTATTACGGATGCATTAGTTAATGGGTAACTTTAAAAAGAGAGAAGAAAAGGGGATTTAAATCAGCTGCTTATTCAGAAAGTGAAAAATAAGCTGAAATACTGTATATACTCAAGTATAAGCATACTTTTTCAGCACATTTTTTATGCTGAAAAAGCCCCCCTTGGCTTATACTTGAGTGAGGATCCTTTTGGGCTGCTCCTTCCTCCTCCTCCTCCTCCTTTGCTGCTGTCTGTAGTGGTGGCGAAGGAACGAGCAGCCCGAAAGCAGCCCTTTTGGGCTGCTTGTTCTTCCTCCGCCACTGCCACCACCACCAGGTTTGTGGTGTGGTGAACCGGCTTATACTCGAGGCAATAAGTTTTCCCAGTTTTTTGTGGTAAAATTAGGTGCCTCGGCTTATATTCGGGTCGGCTTATACTCGAGTATATACGGTACCTTCCTGAGTTCAGCTACTGTTAAGGAGCTGCTGATTTAAATCCTCTTTCCTTTAAAAACAACAACCCTAGTTAACTAATTTGTGTACAACTGCCATTGAGGGATGTCCGTGCTGGCTGGGAGTTGGAATCCAACAGAGGGTGACGGATTCCCCATCCCTTTAATATGGAGTTGAATGGCAAGGCTTCCTTCCTGGCAAGCTAGCACTTTTTACTTGCATTGATATATATATAGCCAGAGACTGTTATGGATGACTTCACTCTGCTACCTCCACCATCTGATTGTCATAAAACCAGGGGGATCCTGAAAATGACATGCCAGTTTCTGAGCATCTTCCTTACTTGTTTCTGCAGGTGATCTAGATATGGAACTCAAATCTCCAGCTGAGAACATAAACAATGTGACAGAGTTTATCTTTTTCAGCTTCACCCAAAATGAGGAGCTGGAGAAAATTTGTTTTGTGGTTTTTCTGTTCTTCTATTTAGCCATTGTGCTGGGAAACTCCCTGATCACAGTCACCATCATCTTCAGCTCCCGCTTGAATTCTCCCATGTATTTTTTCCTCAGCTACTTATCTTTTGTAGACATCTGCTACTCCTCTGTCACGGCCCCCAAAATGATTATAGACTTCCTTGTAGAAAAGAAAACCATTTCCTTCATTGGCTGCATAGCGCAGCTCTTTGGCGTCCATTTCTTTGGCTGCACAGAAATCTTCATCCTCACAGTGATGGCGTACGACCGGTACATTGCAATCTGTAAACCTCTCCACTATACCACCATTATGACCAAGCGGGTTTGTGGGCAGATGATAGCAGCCTCGTGGGTTGGAGGGCTCATGCATTCATTGGTGCAGACCCTTTCCGTCACTCAGGTCACCTTTTGTGGACCCAATGAAATTGACCACTATTTCTGTGATGTCCACCCTTTACTGAAACTGGCTTGCACAGATACCTACATTATTGGCATCATTGTGGTGGCTAATAGTGGGATGATTGCATTGGGCTGCTTCATCATCCTGGTTATCTCCTACATTGTCATCTTGGTCTCCTTGAGGTCTCGCTCTTCCGAAGGGCGTCAGAAGGCTCTGTCTACCTGCGCCTCCCACATCTTGGTGGTCATTTTATTTTTTGGACCATGCACCTTTATGTACATACGCCCTTCCAGTGACTTTGCAGAAGACAAGTCGGTGGCTGTGTTTTACACCGTGATCACCCCAATGCTCAACCCATTGATCTACACATTACGAAATGCGGAGATGAAGAATGCCATGAGAAAACTATGGAGGAGGAAAGTGACTTCAAGTGAGAAAGCAAAAATTTGAATTTTAGCATCATTTAAGTCATTAATTTAGTTAAATAAGGTACATAGAAATCCAGTGGGGCAAAACCACCTGGACCCATGCCCCGAAAGCACAGGGCAAGCGAAAAAACTGCTTGGACCCATGCTTTCTAGGAATGGGACAAGTGGGTGTGTAGATGAGCTTGTAGTAGTAAAAACACAGCTGGTGCAGATTTTTCAGCTCTGGTGTGTCAGGATTTATGATCTCCCTCTCATACCAAGAGACAGCAAGCTGGTGGTTTTCTAACGTTCAGATTTATTGGTATTTACACAGTAGTTTCAGTCCGAGCACACAGCTCAATCTTCCTCACTAGATGGGTCAGTTGAGCCCACTGAAGGGCAGGCTCTTCGCCAACAGGATATCCTCCATTGGCTGCCCCTCCTTCTGTTGGCCAAGCCTGGACTCTACTTCTTCTCCTAGTACAAGGAGACTCAGGAGCAGCTTGTCCAGTTTGCCTCTCCTTCCCTGAGAATGGGTCTGAGAGCTGTGGCCCCTCTGCCTGCCTTACACTGTCTTGGGAATTTACGACATGCATTCCAGGACAGGAGGGGCTCGTCTCACTCTCTCCATGGGAAGAAAGCAAGTCTCTGTCTCTTTCTGCTTGCCACTCCTCCTTGGTCCTCGGAGCCCTCGCTGTCACTCTGGGAAGGAATGTTCCTGACATGGTGTAATGTGTGTACAACTATGTGACTCAGTACCTTGGTAGCTGCACTTTGAACTAGTTGCAGCTTCTGAACCAGGCACATGGGTACAGTGGTACCTCGGGTTACAGACACTTCAGGTTACAGATTCTGCTAACCCAGAAATAGTACTTCGGGTTAAGAACTTTGCTTCAGGATGAGAACAGAAATCGCACGGTGGTGGCACAGTGGCAGTGGCAGACCCCATTAGCTAAAGTGGTACCTCAGGTTAAGAACAGTTTCAGGTTAAGAACTGACCTCCAGAACAAATTAAGTTCTTAACCCGAGGTACCACTGTAGTCTAATCATGAGGTTACCAATTCATGTTCCACCCTAGCAAGACTAGCCCTGTCCAGGAATGGTTGTAGATGGTGCACAAGTAACACACACACACACACACACACACACACACACACACTGTCTGTCTGTCTGTCTGTCTGTCTCTCACCCACCATTGAAAAAGCTCTAATTCTTCCCTTAGCAGCCCCTATAAAAATGTCTCCCTGTGCTGTGTTTAGGTTTGGGGGAAAAGCATCCTATTGCCTCCAATAGCAGATTTTCTCCAAACCAAACTGAGGTGCAGGACGGGAGAAAGAAGGAGGTCCTGATGGTTTCTCACCACTGTACTATGGAATAATGAAGAAGAAAATTAGTGGAGTGATGGAAGGAACCAAATCTGATTTGGTGAGCCATTCAAAATGCCACCATACTGTTTGCCAGTTCATTCCACCAACTCTGGTGCCCCCCCTCCCCCAGGTGCATTCTGCAAAGTGTTATTGCCACACTCAGTGGCAGATTGACGTTGATCATAGCAGGAGCATCAGCTAAGTCTGGTTGGGCACCGGAATAGAAAATCAATATGAACCAGCCTGAAAGGATAATTTGTCTAAACAAATTCCACCAGGCAGGCACGGACTTTGGTCTTTCAAATGTCAGTGGTGTCCTATGTGAGCCCAAAATTTGCCACCCCCTGCCTCCACTCTGCTCAGTTCACTATGTCATAGTTGTGATGCCCTGCAGTACCTCCTAGGCTTGGCGCCCAGTGCAGTAGAACTGGTTGTGCCCTAAATCAGCCTCTGCATCAGGCTACAAGATTAAAAGAGAGATAGGATTGCAAGGCTTTCCAGCTATTCCGTGGAAAGACCAACAAAATTGGGCTGCTCCTTTCCTTGAACTCTTTCCACTCCAGCTGGTGTTTACAAGAACTCTGTAATTAAGAAACAGTGCCTGAATCTTCCAATCCCTTTTGTGTTATGTGTTTTAGATTGTAAACTTGAGGGCAAGACTGTCTTATCACTGACATTTGTAAGCTGCTCTGGGAGCCTTTTCTGGTTGAAGAGCAGGATAACAATGCTATGAATGAATGAATGAATGAATAAATAAATAAATACCTTGGTTTTCACTTGCTACTTTGGCATACTGTCTATAAATGTGTTCATTTGTAAGGGGATAACTCCATTAGATACTGAAATACAGAAGGAAAACTTCTACACACATTTGAGATAGGATTCAATGTGTGTTCTCACTCAACTCCTCTACCAGGTTTTGGAGAGAAATGACGTCCTTCCTGTATTGCTGTGGGTTCTATAAGCCCAAATTAGTAGTCACATTGGTCAAGCAGATGCATATAGGAAGCCTGCAAACAGGGCACAAGTGCAACAGCACTGTGCTCAACAACAACAACAACAACAACAATTTTATTATTTATACCCCACTCATCTGGCTGAATTTCCCCAGCCACTCTGGGTGGCTTACAGTACAGTGGTACCTCAGGTTACATACGCTTCAGGTCACAGACTCCTCTAACCCAGAAATAGCGCTTCAGGTTAAGAACTTTGCTTCAGGATGCGAACAGAAATCGGGCTCCGGTGGTGCGGCAGCAGCAGGAGGCCCCATTAGCTAAAGTGGTGCTTCAGGTTAAGAACAGTTTCAGGTTAAGTATGGACCTCCAGAACGAATTAAGTACTTAACCTGAGGTACCACTGTACATATAAAAACATAGTAAAACCAAGTTATTGGTGTTCAAAGGCATACTGCTAGTAGCCATTGATAGTCATGTCCTGCATAAATTTACCTAATCCTCTTTTGAAGCTATTCAGGTTGATGGCCATCGCTGCATCCTGTGGGCTCCAAAGTTTAACTGTGCACTGTCTAAACAGGCACTTTCTCTTATCTGTGCTGAACTTCCAACATTCAGCTTCATTGGTTGTGCATGAGTTCTAGTGTTAGAAGAGAGGGAGAAAAAGTTTTCTCCACCCACTTTCTCCATGCCATGCATCATTTTATAAACGTCCATCATGTCACAAGTTGCCTTGATTTTAAACATCAGAGCAGTACCAGAGAATGAATCAAACTCTGGAGTTTCTGTTCTAACTTGTAAAAATGAAAAAGGGATAATGATAGAAAAAACAAAACCTTGATTGATATTTCTGTCCTGTGTCTTAAAAAAAAAGTTTTGCATTGCTTCCTCATGAACGTTTTTCTATTGGGAAACGTCTATATTCTTTTGAGAGCTTATTAACTAAATTGATGACGATGATGTGCTCTTGCAGGGCATTATCACATGCAAATATTTCAGTTCAGAAAAAGGAGAGGAGTGACAATCTTCCCAAAGATTTTGTAGAAGCAGCAGTGATTTGAGATAAATATATCGAGTCAATAGCTTCAGCTGGTCTTTTGCTCTCAAGAGGGGGATTTGGCCTGCGTCACCAGCACTGGGACAGATGTCAGTTGGTGGAACTGCAGAGCAGTTCAGTGAAGCAAAGAACAGATAAACTTGGTAGAGAGATGCAGCAACTTTGGCCACAGAAGGTATAAAGGAAACTTTGTCAGTGCTGGCAGATCGTGAAATAGGATCTCTTCCAGAGGACCAGTTTATTTTTTGCACAATTTTTTCAGGGAAGTTATACAACATCTGCCTTCTATGGAACAATCATGCTGATTTCTTTGTGAGGTGCTTATATAACATTGCATGAAGCAAACGTTATCACATACTTTCTAGCACATTTTATCACAGAAGTCTGCATTTGCGGGGTGGGCATTGGGTTTGTTGTGTACGAACTTTAATTGCACAACCTGAATTTGCTGGTATGTGGTTGAATCCCACCTGAAGATAAGCGACAGCCCAGCAGCGCCCTTAAAGTACACTCCTCAGTCAAGACCACCCAGGTAAGAATGGCGAGATACAGTAATGAACCGTACAGATCACTGATTATTATTGCACTAAAAAAAATGTTGATTGGGATTTCCAAATGGTTTATTTCTTTCTTTCTTTAATGCTGCATCGAGGTACATACAATACTTCCTTATTTATTCTTAAAACACTCCTCAAAGTGCCATTACAAAAATTCCATTTTATTTTGATGTGACATTACACCTCCTCTCTGGCAAAGTCACGATGGGTTCAGAACATGTGGGAAGGGGTAAAAGTTTGTGGGTTCTTTTTCTTTATCCTGAGGCAACTGAAATAATCACATGGTCAACATTTTGTAAGATTCCAGGTCTCTTATTTCAGGCATGAGTGTTCAGTGGTAAACTAAATGCAAAATGTGGGGGCAACAAGGGTAAGTTTTTTTTAAAAAAAGGTTCAAATCATGATCAATAAGAGGCAACTAAGAGATATTTTGAGTCTCTCTGCCCATATTGGCAATGTCACTGATTGACAGATAATAACTTCACACAGTTCTCTAATGTCTCCGCTACTGCAGGTTCTTGATAAGTGCCAAAAAGAGGATAATAAAAACCACATTTAAAATGCGTCCTTTCCTTTCTGACCATGGTGAGAAGGTTGTACAAAAATGTTGAATGGCTTGATTAGGTCAAGGACGGGGAAACTGTGGATCTCCAGATGTTGTTGGACTACAACTCCAATCACTCCTAACCATTGTCCATAGTGGCTGTGGGTGATGGGAGTTGGAGTCCAACAATATCTGGAGAGCTACAGGTTCCTCATCCATGGTTGAGGTGGTCATGATACTGGGCTTGGTTGCTTCCAGTTGTCCAGCCCAATCCAATGCTTATTCAGAATTAAGTTCTGCTGGGTCAATAATGGGCCTTATTCCCAATTCATTGTGCATTGGACTGGAACTCTTTGGCCCTGATGCAAAGAAAAATGACTTAAACAAGAGACTGTGGGACAATAGCTGTCCATACAGAGCCCCATTTGCTGCCTAACAGCTGATCCAGTATTTCAGACTTGACATTGTTGATCCCCTCTAAAAGGCAACAGGGCATATGGACATAGCTCCATGGTTGAGCATCTATTTTGAAGGTCCCAGGTTAAATCCTTGGCATCTACAGGTA